GCTGCTGCTGTTGCTGCTGCTTCTGCTGCTGCTGCTCTCCCTGCTGCGGTGGAGCTGCAGCGAGCTGCTGCGCCTGGTGCCTGCTGCAGCATCTGCCGTTGCTGCAGCAGCAGCAGTAGCAGATTCACTTCTGCGGCCTTTGCTGCTGCTGCGGCTCCAGGTCGTCGCCCAAGCGCTCCTCGCTACTTCTGGCGTGCCGACTGCGAATCCCTGCTGTTGCTGCTGCAGCTGCTGCAGCTGCTGCAGCTGCTGCTGCTGCAGCTGCGACTCCGCTCGCTTCAGCCGGTCATCTGCCTGTACAATCTCCCTTTCCTGCAGCAGCAGCAAGCAGCAAGTTTGCAGCCAAGAAGCAGCAAGCACTGCATCACAGGGGGGTCGCGCGCTACATGCCCCTGATGCTGCTGCTGCTGCTGCTGCTGCTCTGCTGCTGCTGCTGCTGCTGCGGCGCCATATCCCCACCTTGCTCGAAAGCTGTCTTGAAAGGGCCTCCAGCTGCTGATGCATGTCCTGCTGCAGGCGCAGCAACGCCTGCAGCCCCACAACGTGCGCGCAGCAAACGCATGAGGCAGCAGCAGCAGCAGCAGCAGCAGCAGCAACTGCAGCAGCCTCCTTGGCGCAGCAGCGGCGGTGGCCGTACCTGTTCGTGCTCTGCTCGCTGCGCAGCAAGGTGCGACGCATGCAGCGTTTGCTGCTGTCGTAGCTGCTCTGCTTGGTGCAGCAGCAGCAGCTGCTGCTGCTGCAGCTGCTGCTGCTGGTCTTCGCGTTGCTGCAGCAAATGCCGCAGCCGTTGTTCAACAGCTTTAGCCAGCGGGACAAGACTCTGCTGCTGCTGCTGCTGCTGCTGTTCCTCATTGCCTCCATCGAGCTGCCGCAACAGCCGCAACACCACACTAGTGGCTTCCCGAAGCTGTTGTTGCAGCTCTTGTTGCTCTCCTTGCTGCTGCTGCTGTTGCTGCTGCTGCTGTTGCTGCTGCTGTGCAGAGGGTGGCACCGCTGCTGCTGCTGCGCTGCTTTGTTGCTGACCGCTTCCAGAGGCGGCAGCTGCTGCTGCAATGCGAGATGCTCCCGGGCCTCTGCTTAGTGTCTCGCTGCTGCTGCTGCTGCTGCTGCTGCTGCTGCTACTGCTTGTCGCGTGCAGCCGGTCCGGCAGCATCTGCTGCTCTAGCTGCTGAATAAGGAGCTGCTGCTGCAGCAGCAAAACTTGCTGGTGCTGTACTGTCTCTTGCCTGCTGCTGAGGGCCGCTTCTGCGTGCATGCGCGCTGCTGTCTCCTCGTGTAGCTGCTGCTGCTGCTTTTCCAGTTGCTGCTGCTGCTGCTGCATCTCCTCTTGCAGTCGCTCGCACTCCCCGCACATTTTTTTTGCTGTCTCCGGTGCTGCTGTTGCTGCTGTTGCTGCTGCTGTCAGAGGCTTCGTCGCCCCGTTGTTGAGAGCCGCAAGCTGCTGCTGCAGCAGCAGCTGCTGCTGCCGCGCTGCAGCAGCTGCTGCAGCTTCCCGTTCAACCTCTGCAGCACACCTTTTCTGTATGCTTTCTAGGACGTGCTGGTGGTGCTGCTGCTGCTGCTCCGCTGCTGCTGCTGCTGCTGCTGTTGCTTCCTGCAGCTGCAGCAGGGCCTTTCGCTTCAGCGAAGCCTCACGCTCGCAGGCCTGCTTCAGCTTCTCCTGCTGCAGCTGCTGCTGCTCCAGTTCCTGCTGCAGCTCCTGTGTCTGCTGCTGGTGCTGCAGCTGTTGCTGTCGCAACTGCTGCTCCCAGCTGGCATTCTGCTGCTGCAGCTGCGAATTGCTGCGCCGCAGCTCCTCCGCCTCACTAGCTTGCTGCTGCAGCTGCTGCTGCGCCTCCTTGAGAGCTGCTTCCAGCTGCTGCTGCTGCTGCAGCTTTTGCCGCGCTTCGTTGAGCGCTGCTTCCAGCTGTTGATGCTGCTGCTGCTGCTCTGCTGCTGCTTCTGCAAACAGCCGGTAGTTCGCCTCGAAGTCCTGCTGCAGTGCAGCATAGGCGCGCTCCAGTCGCTGCTGCTGCAGCGCGAACTTACAGCGTTGCTGCTGCTTCAAGGCCTCTGCCTGCTGCTTCTGCTGCTGAAGCCTCAGCTCGCATTGCTGCTGCTGCTGCTGCAGCAGCAGCAGCATCTCGTGGTGCTCTGCAGCACCCCAAGACACCAGGGTGGAAAGTTCATGGGCGCGCTGCTGCAGAGTCTCTAGAAAGCTGCTGTTCATGGGTGTAGCAGCAGCCGCTGCTGCTGCTGCTGCTGCTGCTGCTGCCGTGCGGTAGACGTCTGAAGGGGCCTCAGCAGTTGCTGCACTGTCTGTCCAGTGCATGTGTCTTGGGTGCAGGTGGCGTTGACGCTGCTGCTGCTGCTGCTGCTGTTGTTGTTGCTGCTGCTGCTGCTGTTGCTGCTGCTGCTGCTGCTGTTGCTCTTGCTGCTCCTGCTGCTGTTGCTGCTGCTGCTGCTGCTGTTGCTCTTGCTGCTCCTGCTGCAGCGTCTCACCATGGGCGAAGCCGGAAGCGCCGCAGCAGCAGCTGTTGCAGCAGCAGCAAGCGCTGCTGCTGCTGCCATGCTGCGGCGCGGGGCGGGTCTCCGACCTCTTGCGATGGCACGACGAAGCTTGCTGCTGCATTGACTGTTGCGGCTGCATTTGCAGCTTCTTCTTCTGTTGCTGCTGCTGCTGCTGCTGCTGTTGCTGTTGCTGCTGCTGCTGCAGTGAGGCCAACAACAGTCTTTGGACTTTAGGGGCAGTTGCCTTCTCCACAGACCCGCACACAACCCCAAATCCCGAGTCCTGGACCGTAAACCCTAAACCCTAAACCCTAAACCCTAACGCCGAAACCCTAAACCCTAAGCCCCAGATGCTGATTCAATGCGACAGCTGTTTGCTGCCAATTTGTCCTGGGGTCTTGCTGCAGGCATTTGCTATCCCTGGCGTTCAGCCGCATAGTGTGACCGCAGCAGCAGGCGCTGCCACAGCTGGTGCTGCTGCTGCTGCTGCGGCTGCTGCTGCTGCTGCGCCTCGTAGATGGAGGGCCGGCTCGCTGCAGCACAGAATAAAACTCTAGGGCAGTTTAGTGCCAACCGGAAATGCTGAAAAATGCGCCCCATCTACTCGCGGGGGCCCCCTTGGGTCACTTGCTGCAGCAGCTGCAGCTGCTGCAGCTGCTGCTGCTGCTGCTGCGTCTGATGCTGCTGCTGGGGGGACAGCCACAGCGCCGCTAAAACAATTACATTTTGCATCCTTTGTCGCTTTGGCTTTTTCTACAGCAGTGACTTGCGGAAGACAAGGTGCTGCTGCTGCTGCTGCCCAGTGGCCCTTGGCTGCTGCAGCAGCAGCAGCAGCAGCAGCAGCGAGGAAGGCTTCTGCAAATTGCATGCGCTGAAGCGATCCTCTGCAGCAATTTGTTTGTTCATTTCATGACTAATACCTTTTGTGGCTTATTAAGACTAATTTGTGCTCGTCTCTTCAGGGCTGCGGTGGGTGTTGCTGCTGGAGCAGCAGCAGCAGCAGCGGTCGCCGCAGCAGCACCAGCAGCAGCAGCAGATAGCAAGCCGTACAGCTTCACTGCAGCACTGGATATCGGCTCCTTTTTTGCTACTTATTTGAGCAGCAGCTCACCTCCGCAGCAGCAGCTGCAGCGGCGGCTGCAGTAGCGACAACTCCAAGACCAGTAAGTGTGGCAGCAGCACAAGCAGCAGCAGCAGCTCTTGCTGCTGCTGCTGCTGCTGCAACGAGCTCTTGAAGGCCTTTTCCCAGATGCTGCACTCGTTAGCAGCAGCGCCCACCTGGGTACCCCACAGCCGTGGCCAAACTAGCAAGTTCCGCAGCAGCAGCAGCAGCAGCAGCGGCAGCAGCAACGGTAGCAGCAGCAGCAAAAAGGCAGGGGAGCCACTTGCCGCAACTCTGAAGGCAAATGCATCTCCTTCCACAGGACAGCGCGGCCGTTGAGGGCGCAGGTAGGGGTTCTTTCGCTGCTGCTGCTGCTGCTGCTGTTGCTGCTGCTGCTGCTGCTGGGTTTTGCTGTTTCTGCTGCTGCTTGTGGCTGCTGCTGCTGCTGCTGCTGCAGCAAGGGTTTTGCTGCTGCGCGTCGATTATGTGTGAAGGTGATCCATACAAGAAGCGCATGAGGACGGGCAAAGGATGGTTAGACCCCAAACCCTAAACCCTAAACCCTAAACCCCAAACCCTTTATTAGAGAATAATGAACCCTGGTAAACCCTAATAAAGTCTCCTAAACCCTAATGAACACTCAAAACCCTTTGTAAACCCCCGCAGACCCCGATAAACTCTTTTCTTTCCTGCTGGACCCTCGTAAACCCTAATAAGTGCAACAAACCCTAATTCACCCCAGTAAGCCCTAATAAACCCTAATAAACCCTAATAAACCCTTATAAACCCTAGTAAACCCTAGTAGACCCTAGTAGACCCTAGTAAACCCTCTAGAGGCCCACAAACCCTAGGAAGCCCTCACAAACCCTAGTACGTCCTGGTGAACCCTCGTAAGCGCTAGACCCAAGGCCACCGCCGTAAACCCTAAACCCGAAACCCTAAACCCTAAATCGTGGTTTCACAGTGCAGTCCGCAGCGCATCGCCGAAGAACTTCCCTTTATATGATCTACGAAATAGTTTTAATTTTACTATTTTTAATTTTATTTTTTACTTCATTATTTTTAATTTGTAAATGCATCTCAAACATTTAAATTTCAATTTTCTATTCTCATCTTTTCTTCCATTTGCACATTGCGTGTACATACACCCCAAACGCTTTCGAGACTCCCTTCCTCGACTCGCGCTTTTGGGGTTTAGGGTTTAGGGTTTAGGGTCTAGGCCTAGGATTTGAGGTTTAGCGTTTAGAATCTAGGGTATAGGGTTTAGTGCTTACCTTGTAGGGTTTATGGTTTAGAATTTAGCGTTTAGGGTTTAGGGTTTAGGGTTGAGGGTTTAGGGTT